TCATCAACACGTGAAACAATTGGGAAATAAGCTTGCATCAGGATGTTATGCTCTGCGTGTAGTGGCCAATGAATTGGGTACAGCGACAGCTAAGGTTGTTTACCATGCACTAATTGAATCACATATCAGATATGGAATCGCCTTCTGGGGTTCATGTAATCAAGAAAACTTCCATTCAATATTTGTCTTACAAAAACGAGCCATTCGATTTTTATGTAACGTAGCACCAAGAGTGTCATGTAGGATACTCTTCAAACAAAATAATTTACTGACGGTTCCATCTTTGTTTATACTTGAGACAGTTTGCTTGATTTTCAAGAATAAAGCCTTATATGAAGTCAATGACGGTATTACTCGCCAAAATGGTAATTTGAAACTTCCCATTCCCTCTACCAACAAGATCAAGAACTCACTAATATATAATGCAGTAAAAATGTTTAATCATATTCCATGGAGCATTAGGAACATTGAAGGGTATAAACGATTTAGATCATCTGTGAAGAATATTCTCCTAGATCTAATTCCTTATGATGTTCAGGAGTTTTTCCAGGCCACTCTTCAATAACTTAACTAAATATGGAGAATCCATAGGCTAGTCTAGATACTAGATATAGTATTTTGAAATTTCTATTTTTGACTGTGATACCTAATCAGGATCTCATATCATTTTTATTATTTTTTATATTTTTTATATTTTTTATATTTTTTATATTTTTTATATTTTTTATATTTTTTATATTTTTTATCTTTTTTATGTTTACATCTTCAATAAGTTTTAATGTGTTTTGTTTGTATTGACTTATATATTAATATGATTGTAAGTTTCTTTTAATTTTATTGTGTTTATTTCCTGTAGTCTCTGTACGCATATACATATTTAATGCATGAGTTTTATATATTTCTTCACTTTGTCAATGAGAATTTCATTCTTCCGACAATAAAGTATAATTTGATTTTGATTTTTTGATTTTTGAACTTTTTTCTTCTTATTCTGACGTCAGCAACATGCTCCTTTTTCTACACGTACTTAAGAAACATTCTGTACATATATTTTTGTAATGAGAAAAAAAGGCTCTATCGACATGTCGTAAATTATATAGGGTGTTCCGCTGAAAAAATCAAAGTTGATGTCCTTTCTGGAAAAACGAACGACCCTGATATGAAACAATTTAACGAAATAAAAGTTTGGCTAGTTTGACACAACTTTTTCATTCAACATTTTTTCATATCTCTAAAATCAAAGGGGGGATTCTATTTTAAGAGGGGCACCCTGTACAGCAATGAAATATTTTAAATCAAATATCCAAATTGACTGAATCAATCCTTGATTCAGTTGAACACCACTATCTTTGGTTGAATTATCTTCCTTGGTGGGTAGCAGAATAATTTCTTTATCACGAATAAACATTCCAAAGATGCCGATTGTCAGATCTTTGTATTATTTGAAATGTTTATTTTGATAAAGGAATGTTTCTGTTAAAATGACAAAATAAGTAATTGCAATCAAAGATAGTGAGGGTGATATAATTTCAAATATTCCATTTCTCTTCCCTTCCCCCAAACAGCTCATTCGAAGACTAACGGTTACCGAACAAAAAATGTTTGTTTCGATGTCTTGTTTGTCGATGCATCTTTGGGACGCCCTTTATGAGTATCAAGTTGAATTCATAGAAACTCTTTCGAAAACATTTCAACATTTACTTGCATTCTAATCTCGCATTTCAATTTTCATAGTAACTATTTTCTATTTGTCATCGTACCTTTTATCAAGTGACCGGTCAGAATCGATTCATAGGATAGGTATTGAATCTACAGGGTATTCCACATCCACATCCTTATCTGGTTTACCAGAATAGATACAAAAACAATTTAAGTTGTTTATAGTCATGGAGTTTTTTTCAGATAATGTCAACTATACAGGATGATCCATATGCCTGTGACATACCAAACATACGATTTTTTAAAGAAATGAATACCCTATACTTCATAACGTCGTTCGATAGAGCTCAGAAAAGAGAGTTCAATGATGTATGGGAGGAGATAACATGGGTCTGAGATCACTCGTTCCGGACTTCTATGATCTATGAACTTCTTCTATGAATAGCCAAATTTCAAAGCCATAAAGTAACGTTGAGAGTCAAGTTTACGATGCTTAGTTCTCGTCATGAATTACCAAATTCTATATGTTATTTTGATATTTCGTCAATATTCAGAAATTTCGAATTTGCCAAAAGTGATGACGAATTCTGCAAACCAATAATTTTGTCGAAATTTCAATGTATTTAATTTCATCCTTGAATAGAGCTCAGAAAGACTAGTTCAATGATGTATGATAACATGTGTCTCAGAACATCCGTTTCGGACTTATCCATGATCTTCTTTCCCAAACAACACAACTACATAACTACATCCTAGGGACTTCCTAAGGAGGTCCCCTTTTTCATACTAGGACATCCCAGGGATATATTTGTCGGGACGAAGTACATACTAGGGGCGTCCCAGGGACATCTGCTGGCCGACAAAAAGCATACAAGGGATGTCTTTCTGGTAAGTCCCTGGGATGTACCAAGTACAAAAAAAAGGTATTCCTAGGACGTCCCAAGAATATTCCAGGGACATCTCTTCGACATGAGAAGAAAAATGTAGGTCGAGTAGGGATTGAACCCGAGACCTTTAGCTAATCAGGCACGCACCTAATTCCATTGGCTAATATGCTTTATGACGATTTATGAACTGAACAGGTTCATTAACAGGACTATACTACAGAAACCTGAATAAATACAACTTTGTTAGGATTTGGCAATAATTATTATCATTTTTGGGTGTTTAAAAATGAGGGGCATTATGCATTTACGATTTCTGTTGGTGAGAAATGGTATTTTCTAAAGGAGTTCTGAGACTATATTCTTTATTTTCATAACAATTATTTTCCGGAAGAAAAACGAACATTTTCAAGAAAATTCAACTGCATATTTTGATGAAATTCAATGACTCTGATGTGAATGGATATCAGATATTCCAGGGACACGAATAGGATAACCAAGGGATGTACCGGGCGCGATGTCCGCTGGACAACCACTACGGGACATCCCCAGGATGCCCCAATAATCATATCCTTGTACCGCGGGACAAAAAAGGGACGTACTCAGGACATCCCTGTGTTGCTAGGGTCAATAAGTAGTCTGATTCATAACCCTTTATGAACGTTGTGAAAAGTTCTGCATGCGCATTTTTCGTTATAGATTCCTATTACTATTCTCAAATATTCAAGAAACGCACATGGAGAACTCAATCCACAACGTTTCTGAGTCCGAAATGGTTTTCCTCAGACCCTATTATATATCATTGAACTCGTCTTTCTGAGCTCTATACAAGAACGAAATGAAAAAGAGCGTGTTCCATCAGAAGATTTCGATTAAATAGTGGGTTTGCAGAATACGTCATCACTTTTGACAAATTCAAAATGTCTAAATATTGATGAATATTGATGAAATATCAAGGTGATATAAAGAATTTGGTAATTCATGACGAAAACTGCGGATCGAAAATTTGATAGTCAACGTTTCTATTGTTCTTTGAAATTTGGCTATTTATTGAAGAAGATCCTGGATATATCCGAAACGGGTGATCTCAGACTTATATCATTAAATCATTCAACTTGTCTTTCTGAGATCTATCCAAGGACGAAATTGAATTTGGGGTATTTCATTCGAAAAATCGTATGTTTGTACACCAGGCATATTGGTCATCCTGTATTGTTGACATTGTCTAAAGAATAAAATTCTTATTACTATAAACAACTCCGATTCTCAATTTCTTCTGTATCTATTCTAATTCACCAGATGAAGAAGTTCAAATAATCTATCAATCAATCAATCAATAAATCAATCAAACTCTAATTGAATGAGTTTTCTTCTACAATAAAAATAAGAAAATAATCATAGCATCATTGTAAAATACTAGTTTATTCAACAGGTCATAAAATGAAAAATGAATATATCTATTAGAAAAGTTAAACGATATTTAATGACCTTCAACTTGAAAAAATAAATTGGGAATTAGTATGAAACATAAATAATATACTGGACAAATATATTCACAAACAGCATTAAACATTAAAATATCATTGAAATAATCTGATCATTAGAATAATTCACTCACATCATGATTCCAGGAGAAATTCATCATCTGAGTGATATGCTTTTTGCAATAAAAATTATTTGAGTTACCTTTCGAACACATTATGATTCGAAGACAATTTAATGCCTTCACTGAGATTATTATACAGCTTAACTCGATAGTACATGGGATGATTATATGATACTTGCCACGAGGTAGATGCAATTGATTACAGATCCTAGTGGAATGATCATGGATTTGTTCATTTTTGGGTATACTTGAGAAATTATTCCTGACATATATTGTAGTCAGAAAGATATACAAACTGGGCATTGTCAAAATATCATAATGTATGGATAGTGACCTGCAATGATCTCTGAATAATGCCCATTTTATGTGGGATACCCCGTACAATCAATTGTTCTGAATTCTTCAAATATACTCGATTGATTAACTTCTCCTCTCATTTATCAATTCCTTCATGGAGGAAACTGTATATTCTCCAAAGGAGAACATCTTCAATCACTGTAGATTCTTGCTTCGGCTATATGTATATTCACTAATATTTTGAAAACGAAATGTCTTTTGGTGCATTATTCATTGTTGATGTTTTTAAATCTAAGTCAAAAATGTACACATTACTTTTTCGCCATATCTCATGAAAAACATATGATAAACATCAATTTTGTTCTACCCTGTATAAATCGAGAACGAGCCCAACTCTCGATTTAATCTTGCGTAAACAAACATTCTAGTATCAGTTGAACATTGAGAATGTCCACAATAATCATCAGTGGTCGTTGTTTAGTGCTGTACACAGTGAATCATCACCTCATAAATTCACGAAATCACTAGTAGGCACAATTCTGGTTTTCTTGCAGTCATGACTGAGAGCGCTTTCAAAGCCAGGGATATCGGGCTGAGGGCTCAGAAGAAGATTTTGTCCCGCATGGCGGGAAAAAACATCGCCAAGGCCTTTATCGATGATACGACATCCTCGCTGCTGGACAACTTGTACCGCCTAGCAAAACAATACGTGAGTGCCACACTAATAATCAGATTAAAGTTGCGTTTCATTTGTTCCATTCTGGTAGCGGTGGTGGGAAGAGAATGACGTTTACAAATAAAACGACAGACTTCATGACCTTCTATGGGTTGCGTGCAAGAACTGTCAGATGACCGACCCTGGAGGAACAACATTGAAACACAACCTCACTTTTCTTTTTTGTTCACAAGTGATTGAAATAGTTTTTCACAATTATTTTGGCATACGAATCGTATTTTTCGGCTATTCATTAATTCGATCATGCCATCACATTGGGCTGTTGTACAATGCACAAAAACTGCATTCATTTTTGAAATCTGGTAATTTCTCTGATTTCTCATCGGAATCCCTCCTGCAATAGTAGCTAATAGAAATACACATGAAATTTCTGGAGTAATGCAAAAAGATTGGATCCATGCAATGAAACGAAAGGACAGGTTTGACATGCTGACAAAATATGATCGTGTGTGTGTAGACATTTTCAGAGGACAGAAGTGACAGAAGGAATTTCAATAAGGAATGACAATATTTCATAAGGATAACTATGTGAGATTACTATTAACCTGAAAAATCATATTCTTTCGTCTCTCACTGCATTTTTTGTGCATTGAACAACAGCACAATGCGAAGGCATGTTTGAATTAAGAGGCCATATGTCTCTCGAAATTATTCGAATGTTATCAGTTTTCCCTCAGAAATGTTCTCAATACATATTAATGCATTCAAAATCATTGAAGGATGTTATTGTGATTCCTGAAAAATTGCCTCTGTTGTTGCACAAAGTTCTTCGAGTATGTTGGGCCACTCACTGTATTAAGAAGTATTGAGAAAGTTTGTCAATAATTGTATGTTAGGGAAAATGGACATAAATTTGAACAATTCGATATATAAATTACTGGAAAATTTCAAAATTCAATTATTTTAGTAAATATTTATTCAGGTGCTCTTTTAATTACTATTTATGTGTTGCTATCAGGTACCCAAGTTTTGAGTTTTGTTAATTAATTATTGTTGATATTGATTTCGATCTCTTCACGGAAGAATTTTAAGTAATATTCCTTCATTTGAAACGTTTATTATATGAAAAATTCATAGCCCACTATGAAAATTCAATATTTGATTTGATTTTTTTTGAGCATGTTTGGAATTTTATATTCATTTATTGTATATAATTTTGAAGGGAAAAAAATTAGGAATCTGATGAGCTCATAAAATGCAGGGTGTTTCAAAAATCATAAGTTCGAGTCGTATCTCCAAAACCATTTCCCGAAAATAAATGTAGGTGTGCCACTGGAGTCTGCGTAAAATTCTCTATCCGATAAGATTTTGATTTGACATTTTCGCTGAGACACTTCGTAGATATAGAGGGGGACCAAAAAGTATAAATTTTCAAAATCTCCCTGAATCTCATAAACAGAAATAGTCCTGCAATATCTGATCAAGCCATTTTGAGTTTCACAAAAAACTGGCACAGGACCGCAAAACCGCAAGGTTCTATCTCCAAAGATAACTGAGCATCGAAAACTGGACACACTGTACTGTCTAGGTGTCTAGGCCTGGGAAAAAAAATCGATATATCAATAACTATCGAAATATCGATTACTATCGAAATATCGATAACTATCGCTGTATCGATATATCGAAATATAGGTATATATTATTGATAACCATCGATTAATCGATATAAAAAAATCATAAAGTTATCGATATATCGCTAACTATCACTTTTTTTCTCAACATACTCGTGAAAATGAACTTATTTTAATTATGTGAGTCTTCAACGCTTTCGTGATATCCAGATTCCAGAAATAAGTAATAAGTACAGCAACACAATTTTGTGAACAGTAAAACGACATAACTATCCCGAATATTCAGAGCATCGTGATATTACTGTTGATACCTTTCTAATTTCTTCGAAAAACTCCGACTCAAATGATTATGGATGCACCACCCTCTGTTTGGGTGTGAAACTGAAAATATATTGCGTACCTAGGTAGGTAGTTTCTTTGCAGATGCAGATTCCATTAGTTTGGTTGAAGTTTCCATAATATTTGGTTTGAAGAAAAAATAAGATTACCTACTTTGAGTTTCCAAATACCTCATACCTATTCATTCCGTCTAGCGTAACCATATTCATCGTAATTATCGATATATCCGATATTTATATCGATAATCATCGATATATCGATAATCATCGATATATCGATATTTATCGATATATTGATATATCGAACTTATCGATTTGTTTTGACTTCTCGATGATCGATATGTGAAATCCAATATCGCCCAGCCCGAGTACTGTCAGTAGATCCACTGACTCTGCTGAAAATCTGTGTTTCGAAATATAAAATCAAAAATACAGTGCTCTAATTCGAAACACGTTTTCATCAGTGATCAGCAGCAGTTGATCAGCTGGTAAAATTTGTCAGTTGTCAGGATGTCACTTCTGTAGTTTTTTGTTTATCTGGCTAATTATTTAAATAACAGGCATTTCCTGATATTAAAAATGATATTCCCAACTTATTATTGTTAAGGCAACACTTGATGCTTAAAAAACAACAGAAATAAATGTGACATTATTTTTCCTTCCAAAATAATGACAGTTCACTGAAGCCACACTACCTTTTGATAATCAGCAATTTCAGCAGGATGTTGAGTCGAAATAATTGGAATGAATATAGTATGGTCATGTTCCGATATTGCTGATATTACTGGCGACAGTAAGCAACACTAAACAGTGGCAGTAGCTTTGAATTTTCATTTCATTTCGGAATGATTTTGGCAGTACTGGTACACTGGCAGAAAAAAACATAACCATGCGACCATAACTTATGATCTTTAGATCTTCGATGTTTCGTTTTGTTCGTTTTTATTTTCATCATTTTAATCACTATTACCTTCTATACTCACTTAGGAATTATGGATGGAGTGATTAATCATATTATCTTAGAAAACATGATTTACCGAGGGTGATTCTGATTCATCAGGAACACCTCGAGAAACACCAAGCTCTAGTATCTCTAGCAGAGATCAGTGACTGATCTCAGTCTTTAGTTCTAATAATGAAGAAATAAAGCATCGCTGTGAAATATTTGATATAAAAAATGGGAATAACAAACCATCTTGTAAATTTGGCAGTTTCAGCGTCTATTGCCTCTGTGAGATCTTCCAGTTCGAATTCATATATTTTCCCAAAGTATTTAAAAATGATAAAGTATAATTCTTATCACTCATACCTAACCATTTAATTTCAGTAAAATCGGAACGATAAAATATACTGGGCAGTAAGTACAGTGTGTCCAGTTTTCGATGTTTTTGCGTGATATCTCAGTTATCTTTCGAGATAGAACCTTGCGGTTTTCGCGGTCCTGTTCCACTGTTTTTTGAAACTCAATCAGATTTTGAATAACTGTTTCCGTTATGAGATACAGGGCGATTTCGAAAATGTATACTCTTTGAAGTTTCTTATCGAGAATCTCAAATTAAAATCTCATCCCATAGAGAATTTTATGCAGAATCTAGTGGCGCACTCAAATTTTCATTTCGGGGTACGGTTCTGCAGATTCGACTCAAACTTATGATTTTTCTACTGGAACGAATTCATGACCTCATTAAATTCCTGATTTTTTTCCCTTCAAAATGATATGTGATGTAAACCTAGAAAAAACATTTTCACAAATGCGCAATAATCAATAAAACATCGAAGTTTAACAGTGGTCTATGGATATTTCATATAAAGAAAGTTCCAATTGAAGGAATATTTTTATCGATTTTTTCATGAAAAGGACAAAAACCATATCAACACTAATCAACTAATGAAACACAAAAGTTAGGTACCTCAAAGCAACAAATGTTAGTAATAAAAAGTTCATAATGTAGAATAAGCACCTGATTAAATATTTACTAAAACAATTGAATTTACAAATTAAACAGTATTTTATTCATTGAATTGTTCAAATTGATGTCAATTTTTCCTAACACACAATTGACACGCTATTTCAATACGTCTCAATATAGTAAGAGGCACAACAATCTTGAAGACGCAGTCTTTCCAGAAATAACAAAAACATCTTCTGATGATTTTGAATGCATAAGACGTAGGTATTGAGGAATTGTGTGATGGGAAAAGCTCATCAATTTGAACAATGCAATGAATGAGTTACTGAATGATTCCGAAATTCAATGGTTTTAGCAAATATTTAATCAGGTGCTTATTCTAAATTATGAACTTTTTATTACTATTCATTTTTTGCAATCAGGTAACTAAGTTTTGTGTTTCATTAGTTGATTAGTGTTGGTATTGTTCTTGTCCTCTTCATGGTAAAATCGAGGGAGATATTCCTTCAATTTTGGAACTTTTTTATATGAAAAATCTATCCAATTTGTTTAAAATTCAATGTTTTAGTGGTTCTGGAGCCTTTTCGAGTTTTTTATATTCATACATTATATATCATTTTGGACAAAGAAAATAGAAATTCAATGAGCTGATAAAATACAGGGTGTTCCAGTTGAAAAATCATGATTTTGAGTCGTATCTCCAGAGCCATTCCCCGAAAAAAAATTGGGTGCGCCACTGGATCCTGCCTAAAATTAACTATGGGCTAAGATTTTAGTTCGACATATCTGCTCAGGATTTTCGGAAATAAAGAGGGGGTCCAGAAGGTATGAATTTTCAGAATTTCCCTATATCTCAAAAACGGAAACAGTTATGCAAAATCTGATTAGGCCATCCTGAGTTTCACAAAAATGTGGCATGGACCTGCGTGAACCGCGAGGTTCTGTCTCCAAAGATAACGCGAATGCATCGAAAACTGGACACACTGTACACTGTCCGTGAATATCGGAACATGCTCTATGTCTACACACAAGTATCGGTCACTTTCAGTGAATTCTTTCGATTTCGGAATGAAAAATCAGCAGATTCAGTACCTACTGTCAGTTGAATTAGGAATATAGCCTATGCAACAAAAGGCGACAATCACCAAATCAAGAAAATGAATGGGAAAATTTCACATCTAACATTTTCAACCAATTGAAAGCCTGTATTTTGTATTGTTACCATAGCAATTGAACAAATGAAATTACACTGGGATTTTTTGACATTTATAGGTAAAATGACATTTACATTCAACTTCAGATCACATCGAATTCATTTCATAAGAAAATATATTTCTAGCTGATGAATGAATTTGTAAAAAATTGAGAGATTGAGCTACTAGCGACTCATTTTATATCATTTACTCCATTGAACTAAAGTCGTTTAACCATAATTCATTTAACCCAATGATATTACCTGAGCAAATTTCTCTGATATTGGATAGAAGAGAAAATATATTCCTACCAACTTGAGTAAAATCAATTTGTGAAGCACTGAGAAATTGGGCTACTATCAACTTATTTTCTGTTAGGTTGTGCAACTTAAGTAGGTCAATTGTCAATTGTCATGTTATAGATATGAATTATATCAATACTGTCAAGTTCCTTGTAACAAAATATATTTCCACTAACTTTAGTGGTACGAAAATCAGTCAAGAATAATAGTTTGAACTACCATCAGCTACCTTATTGATATTTCGCGTAACTAAAGTCGGTATTTTACATTTCATTCAGCGTAATCTCACCCTAATATATATTTTTCAAATTCGGTGTGGAATTGTCCAACCGAATTTCACTCTAGCTTCAATTAAAATATTTTGAAAATTCATGTTCTCGAAGAAAATGCCGATAATAATTGAAGCTCTCGTGGAATTATAAGTGAAGGTGGAAATATTCGTTTTGGCTTTCCATTCCATCTCAAACGTCCTAAAGAATTAAATGTCAATGAATGCAGTTATCTAGGAAATAGTGCGCTTTCTGATGTTTTTCACGTGTAACTCGTTATCCCTAATTGACAGTTAAAAATAGAATATTATACAATAAGCGCATACTGATGACTATTCCTTGCGAAGGTGAAAAATGCTGTACCTACGTGCCGAAGGTAAGTAGGTACCTACTGTAATCATCTGAGTGGGTAATAGCCATGCATTATACATATGCGAGTGGACTAAACTTTAGTTTTAACATCCCAATTCATTAGGTAATGTGTTGGTTCTACAACTGTTATGGGACTGGCGTCCTTTCAATCATAATATCTGGCTGTTTGTTTGGATGTGAATGAAATATATGAAAATCTTATCTGAGCTTCTTCCGACGACAGCTGCGACTGTTACTTCCGGTTAATTGTTGCTCATTCGACTAGCATCATAGGAAAACCGCAGCGAATCATGATAACATCAATGTACGAATCAATCCTAACAATGGTATAATGATATCTTACTCATATACAGTGTCATTCATGAATTCGGCATCATTTGGGAAAAACTGTAAATACATTTATTCTGGAATTCGACTTGGGCGTTGAGTTTTGCTTTGAAAAAGATGAAGAATGGCCTACTCGGTCGCACTGAGAGAAACTGGACATTAGAAATATCTACCAGCTCTGATTGTAATAACCATTATAAAGAATAAATCTCCTGTTCCTGATTATTTTATTATTACAACAGTATTCTCTCTATTCTGTTATTACTAAATCGCTTACTTAAACCATTTGTAATACCTTTGAATGGACATTTGCTACCTTCATAACGCAGGTGTAATATGGCATTATGAGAATTTTATAAATTCTAGTCTATTTTGATTTTTTATGCTGGTTTTGAATTATGCTTATTGGTGAATTCAGATGATGTTCGTCCCAATATTGGGCGTGTACACCTTAGTAGAACTTTTAACTAAAATCATGTTCATAATAATCTTTTTATACATAATTCGATCGAAAAATTAACTGGAATGTTTTATTTTTGGACATAAATAATAGTACCTTCTGAAAACGGACCTCTTATGACATAGAAACCTCATCTCGCCATGGTTAAAAGAAAATACCAAATGCCCGACGGAGACTGAGGCAACTGATATATTAATTCTTTCAACTGTGATCTCGCGCTAATTCACTCTGTCAGAAATCATGTACATTTATCTCTGTCTGAAATAGTCTTGTTTCAGTATTAGGGTTCTGACGTCACATCATCGCCTCGTTTTCAGAATCAGGGATTTCAATAATTTTTTATAAAATGTAGGGAGCTCACAGCAAGAAACGGTTTGCTGTGGTGAGCTAGTTTGGGTGAGTTCTGTCGAATTATGAAATGAAAATTGTATGTGATATTAGCCCATTATAGCTGTTTGGGTTCCTAGCATTGTACAGGGTGATTGAATATGGATTTCACGACTTCAACAGCTGATATCTCGAAAACGAAAAATGGTATTTGAAATTTGGAAAAAGGTTCTTGAATGAGATGTCATTCCCTTTTAGAAAATGTGTTCTCTGCTTGATTTTATCATTTTATATACAGGGTTTGTGAAAAAAAAATTTTTTCAAATGGAACCCTCTGTATATTACCGCATATTCGGAAAGAGCTCTCTTTCCTGATTTCGATAATATATACTTTCCATATATATTCTATCGAGGGCTTGACGAAACGGCATACCAACGTGAATAGAATACTAACGCTTCTACCACGCGGCACGCGGCTACCTGGCCTCCTGATATACCTCAATTAATATTTGAATCCCACTTTCCTGTAATATTCCATCTCTCGAGAGCAAATAGGATAAATACGCATCCAACATTTTATTTATTAACAATCATAATATAACAATAACAAAAATAATCCTGGAATTCGATCAAATCAAATGTTCAAAAACACTTCCATTATTTTCACGACAACAATTCAGGCTTTTGATGAATGATGTCTTCAATTCATCAAAAAGCTCCGGGTTTGCATTTAGATCCGCAATCTCTACTATTATTTTATCGCGTATTTCATCTTGATTATTAGCTCTTTATTGCCTATAAACTGTGTCTTTCAATGTTCCCCACAGAAAGAAGTCGAGTGGTGTAAGATCTGGGCTTCTTGGTGGCCAGGAAATCGTGCCGCGCCTTCCTATCCACTCATTATAATTTGAATTCAAATATTGAATAATGAGGTTTGTGGAATGGCAAGGTGCACCGTCTTGTTGCCAGATTATCCTTCTAGATATTTTTCTGTTTTTTATCGCTTGGAGCGCACGAAAGGGAATCCCTATAATGTTCAAAGAACATCGTGCGTTCCTAGGGAGGATAGGGATAGGAGGTAGGTATTGGAATTTTTTTTGAACTTCTGGAGATTATATTATGTTGTTAGGAATACTTCCTCAGACAATGAATTCCAGAACCTAGCCGTTCTATGGTTGAAGGAGTTTTGATAAAGTGCTGTTCGACATCTTTCGGGTGGTTCAAGATTCAGAATTCTGATCACCCTGTATCTGTTCCGATTGAATTCCAGTAGATAGTGAATCAAAAGTTAAGATAGGGACATGTAAGTCGTTTTGATCGATAATGAATAGTTTCGACACAAAAGAATCCTAAAGTTGAAAAATCTCGATTTTGATCACCCCATATCTCTGTAATCATTTTCGATTCAACCCAAGTGTGATATATCGATTAAATCAGCTGTTCAGGGAGAATTTGTAAATACGATAAAATATAGGGTGTTTTATTTGAAATATCAATTTTACTACTACTTTCTAGTAGAAGCGGCAACACTGCATTATCGAAAATATTTTAAATGAAGAGAGCGTATTCTGAAATATGAGCACGCACATTTTCATTGATTTTTACCGACTGATTCTGGATATAAAGATAGTGTAAGCTCGTCGTAACATGCCCTGTATACGTACCTTTTTGGTTCTGTGTACGAGATTTTCTGGAACTGAGACATGTTAATTCGCCAATATTTCGAAAACTGTTGAGTGTAGGCAAAGATAACCTAATACAAAGTTAGCTTCATCTTCGATGCCGAATCGAATGGGAATATGAAAATGAAGGGTTTCCATTTGAAAGAATTGACTCACAATAATTGTTTCAACCAAATCTATATCATTTTCTGGTGAACGCCCTGTATAACTGTAATCGAATTGATATCGAAATTCTACTGAACTGAGTCCTCTCCTACGAATAATTCCAGAAATGAAAAAATAGTTATCTATACATCAAGGTATCGAAGAATATCATTATTGTCCAAGGACCAAGATTATATCCCGAGGCTTCAGCCGTGATGTATATTGAATGGTGTATATTGAAGTTTTCTCACCACATGCAATATATTTCAATCATTATTGACTAGTGGTTCATAATATGACGAAAACTACCGTGGTAGTAAGAACACACTTCACGCTTCGAGAAGGAGTAAATAATGGTAAGTTCTACAGCTAGTGGTGGAAAAAATATTTTTTGGTCTGCAAACGCAATTTTCAACTCAATTTGAAATATTTCGAAACGGTTAGACTTGGGAATAGGACATTATACATGAAACATGTTCAGAATCATGCGTAAAATCTAAAACCTTGATGATATACAGGGTTCCCGATTCAAAATAACGAAGTTGGGGTCCACTTCTGGTACAACCGGAAGTGCCACAATCTTCAAAACATTTCAGCCGGATAGCACCTATCAACAATAGTGAACTCCCAAATATTCAATTTCGGCCCACCTATGATTTTCTATATATTTATCGATGCAGTTCCCAGAGGGACACCCTGTACAGCCTACCAAATTTGCAAATGCATTGTCATAAACATGGGTGTAGATCGATCTCTTCTTCTTTGAAATCCGTGACCTCAGTATCGTTCCTATCTACCTTTGATATCTGAAACACATCCACATTTGCAATAATTTTTTTTTCAGTCCAACAATAAAAAAGAAGCTGAGAAACTGATCAAGAACATAATCAAAGTTGTCATCAAATTGGGCGTGCTGCACAGAAACAACATGCTCTCCGACGAGGAAATGCAACTGGCCGAGAAATTCAAAGGGAAATTCCGCATAGCCGGGATGGCCATCATATCCTTCTTCGAGGTGGATTTCAGCTACGACGCCAACTACATCGTACGCGCCCTTAGGGAAAGCCAGAAGTGCCTTGAGAGCATCGTCTCGAAACATCTCACCGACAAATCCGTGTCGAGAATCGACAGCGTGTTCTCCTTTTTCGCGGACGAGCACTTCCTGGACGCGGTGTTCAAGAGAGAGTCAGAGTACAGGGAGGCTCTGGGTAGGGTGGTGGCCGATCTGAATAAGGCCATCGACAACGGGGACCTTTAGTTCTTCTTGCGTCTCTTTCGGCCTGATCGAAAAGGTCAGTCATGATGATTCCAAAAGTTTTCAATAAGAAAGATCGGGAAGAGTGGAAAATTGTATACAGTGTGTCTCACTTCTATTGGAAACACCTCTGTATCTCACGTATTCGTTGGGTAAAGATCCTGAAATGTGCTGGTGCGAGAGATATACCAAAAATGCACTCTATGACCAAGTGGGGTCATATTCAGTGATATACACTGCTCGCCAACAGCCATGGAACCAACCCGATTTCCGGAAAATGATATTAGGAGTCAAAATATGTTGACAATCTTTTCGAATCATGACGCCCAATACACTAACTATTCATATTCTTCTGGAAAAATTTTCAGCTCTGACAATTTCATTTTTGTCTCACTTTTCATGAAAACACCCCCGTATCTTACGTAATCGTTGGGTTGGGATCCTGAAATTTGCTGGAGCTAGAGATATACCAAAAATATACTCTATGACCAAGTGGGGTCATCTTCACTAGCATACGCTGCTTGCCCGTGGAACTACACACATGTGGGGTGTTTCTATGAAAAGTAAGACAAAAGTAAAATGTTCAGAACTCAAAATTTCACGGGAAAAATCTGAATCGTTAGTGTATTGGGCGTCCTGATTCCGAATCCAAAGTGATTCTAAATCTAGTTTGCCTCCTAATATCATTTTCCGGAAATTGGAGTGGTTACATGACTGTTGGCGAGCAGAGTATATCACCGAAAATGACTCCACTTCGTCATAGAGTACATTTTTGGTATATCTCCTGTCCCAGACATTTTCAGGTTCCTTACCCGACGAATATGTAAGATACAGGGGTGTTTCCATTAGAAGTGAGACACACTGTATTTTGTTTCAATATTCGGATCGTTGTTGAAAAATTGCAATACATGGAAGATTTGTGTTCATTCTTGAGGAAAAAATACCAAATGTTCTGTTCTTTTCTTGGAGTAATGTGAGATGTTTCATTTCATATCAGATGTTAGATTTTTAGCAAATCAGAAGGTAGTCACGGAATATGTTTTTCATTGACTACACCGGGTGAAACAAACTCATGTTACACTTCTCTACTTTGTTTTTTCAACTATATATCTGAAATGTTGAACATCGAATATGCCACTAAAGGGCATTTTCTTACTACCTCAGATTATTTTTCATCTTCCGTTTTCCCGGAACATGATATCAACTTTCGATTTTCAAATGAAACACCCTGTATTTTGTTCCATAATTAGTTAGGGATTATCATGAAGAATTCAACGATACTGGGTTTGATAGTGTTATTTCAAACAATAACGAAGATATTCGCGTTCGAAGTTCACATATTCTTAATGGGTGTGACGGCGCAATATCGAAATTTTGATCGCGAATATCTTAGTTATCGTTTGTTCAATTCGTCATAATAATATCTAACCGAATATGGGATAAAATAAAGGGTGTTCCCTTTGAAAATCGAGAGTTGATGTAATTGTCAGGAAAACTGGGAGATAAAATCCGAAAATGTTAGAAAGTGCCAAGCAAACATTAATACATGGATCTTCAGAGCAATGTCACATCAGTGAACTACCATTGGCGTAATATTGGCATTTTTCAATGTTCAATCACAAAAGTTGTCCACTGGACTTAACGCGAATATTGGCAAAGCAGTATTCCATTTATTGCTCATTAATTGTTGGTGCAGTGATGACTCACTAACGTATTTTGAGTGCATTGCCAATGGACATTGAGTGGTTTATTCTTACACAGAGGAATTTGGGGTTACGTATAGGGAATATTATTTCACTGATAACAATGATGATAAAAACAATTTCTAGTATAACTACTATGAAACTCCTTCGTATTCAGTTATATATCCATATTAGATCAGAGATTAACCCGTCGAGTTGAGGCTTCCCACCCCTTCGTGGTACTTTGGAGACCTGCAGAATATCTCTTTCCAAAGACTCGTTCATCCAACGAACAGCGAGGCTCTGGAACACATTGCCAAGGGAGGTGTTAACGATGTTCTCTGAACATTACAGGATATCTCTTTTCGTGGTAACCAGAACATGAGTAAAAATATCTGATCTGGAAAATCAGTCAAGAGTTCACCAATTTTGTTTATGTTGATTGATATTGTAATTTGTAGGCGTCGCCAACTTCTTGAAAATTTGAGAATCTTGTCTTGATCTTGTTTTTATCTCAAGACAAGAAGTGATTTATAGAATAGATTTCAAAACAAGACAAGAAATTTAATGTCAATACGAAGAATTCTTGCAGATGATACAAGAAATCTTGGAATTTCTAGACTGAAAATAAGAACGCTAAAACGTTCGTTCATCACTCATGATGAAATAAGAGATACTTAATATCAATATGAACTGGCAACATTGCAAGTGCGCGATGTCGTTTGCTTTTGTCAGAAAACAAAAATACAGATCGGGGAACCACTAGATTGCTGTGTCAATACGCCACAGGGTTGCCAGTTATACTGAATTTTGAGAAGATTTACCGATTTGCATATTGATTTATTTTATTTTATTTTATTTTATTTATTTATCTACACACAAATCCAATACAGAATTACAGAGTTTACAGGAATTATACATGTATAAATGTCACTCTCATAACACAAAAAAATATATATAAAGAATTAGGTTCAAGCTAAGAATTGTGTACAGAAATAGCACCTAAGTGACTTAACACTTGTGTTGTGCTACAGATCGATATCATTCAATTCACAATTGCAGTTGTTTGCAGAAAGCTAGAGCTAAATAGTGGTATGACATAGTGCAGATAGAATTATTGATGTTCCACTATTGCAATAAATTGAGAGTAATTTTCGAATATGAATTTCTTCGATTCTCTAGAAAATGCTTTATGATTTCTTATTTGTTTCATCTCTAAAGGTAAAATATTGCAAGTTTTAGGCAAAGTGTAAGTCAAGAAACGGTGACAAACACTTTTATTGTATTTTGGGGTGGGTAGCAATTTGTTTGTTGTGCTTCTAGTAGAATATGCTGTGGGAAAAGAATTATGAAGTATTTTATTTTTGAATGCATACATACATAGACTATGAAAATATAATGTTCTGATATTACTAATATCTTCTGTATATAGAAGGTTAGTATGAAAAGATCTCTGTTTTTTGAAAATTATTTTCAGAATATAATTTTGTATTGTATTTAATTTTTGTAGAGAATTTTTATACATTGCTCCCCACACCAAAATACCATATCGAAATAGTGATTCAGCTAGAGATTTATAAATTAATATAAGTTGTCTTTTCGATAAGAACTGTCGTAACTGGTAAAATTTATAAATTAGCTTCCTCACTTTTTTTGTTAAATAATCAACATGATTGTTCCATCTGAGATTCCTGTCAATAATTATGCCCAAATATTTGATCTCGTTTGTTTCCTTGATTTCATCTTTCATACCTGGAACTTCAATACTGGAAAATGTTGGTCTATTTGTATCTGTTATAGTGAGTGCGAGATAGTGGGTTTTACTAGCATTTAGTGAGAGACGATACATACTCAACCACTTATTAATCATTTCCATGCCTAACTGGACAGTATTTTTTGTTTCAGACCATGTATTTTCACTAAAAATTGCAACCGTATCATCGGCGTATGATATAATTTTTGCGTTCACTTCTAAACAGAGCAATGAATTTATATAGGCTTGAAAAAGTATTGGGCCAAGAACGGTTTCTTGAGGGACTCCCATTTTTACAGTCATAGTTTCACTTATTGTATCATTGATTTTGACACACTGTTTGCGATCGGCTAAATAACTATGAAAGACATCCAACGCTGCACCACGAATACCAAGACGATCTATTGAAATATTACTAATCTACTGAAAAGAATAATGACACCTATTTATTAATATAAATACTCATAATCTATAAAAAAAATTGTGACACTCATTCATGATTATAATCACCTATTGATATTGATCCCGAGTTGATCACATATATCCATAATATATTGGTTGATACTTGGGCACGCTCTGTGAATGAATATTCTAGCGCCACTGATTATGAATTTAATTGCGTCTAGGCGCTTGATATGTTGGTAAGAAAGTATCCACTTTTTTCGAGGGAAAAAAGTAATTTCATGACATTTTGTTGTCAACATAAATGAAATATCAAACTTTTCTCCCCGTCAAAGAAAAATACATATTTTTTCGACGTCATAGGTTCATTTCATTATCCTGAAATTTGAATAGCATTAAATTAATTTACTGAAATTACTGAATTTCTGACAAGGTATATCTATTGATGAAATAAAAATCGTGGAGGCAACCCTAGCACGCAACGCTATAAAATGTTCGCCGGGAATCACGATGTACGGTGTCACAGGTCAATCAAGAAATTTCAAGGTCTTAAATTTCTTGGGTCAAGACAAAAAATGATGTCAAAAAAAAGTCAAGACAAGATTTTTCAAAATTTCTTGACTTTTTCCCAAGATGAAACAAGGAATTGTTATCAAGACAAGCATTGTTTTCTTGGTGACCCCTAGTAATTTCTGGAATATCAGGAAGATGGCAAAAACTCAAGAACTAGAATTAAATATTTATGAATTCCAAATAACCTATGAATCACAACTGCATATTCCTAGCCTGCTGCAACAATAGTCAGATGGAAACAAAGACTCGAGTCTGAAGTAGAAGTAGATTGCTTTTAGAATTGAAACTTTGAGGTAGAGGTTCACAGCACTATGGATGTTCTCGAAGACGAATATCAGTTCATACAACTCGGCTCGGTGGTCGATAGCGTGAAGGCGCTGAGTTCGTATGGGGACTCCCACCGAGACATAGGTTCGAATCCTAGTTAGGCCATGGATGTTTGTGTTTGTCTGCTTACCTAACCCCGCACAAGTTTCGACTTATGGGGCGTTTGGTCCCAGTGCTGGAACCAACGAGGTAATGCAATTGCAAAAAAAATAATGGAGAAAAAAATTGTGAAAATGGTGAACTGAATTCGTTATTTTGATTTGACTTGATTGAATAATGCACTCATACAACTTTCTATTCATTCACTTGTTCACTTCACATCTTACAATAAGAATGGCTGAGAGGGCTTCTGCGTCGAAGGAGAAAAACAAAATGGAAGACCTAGTGGAATCACATCAGTTGTCGATACCCATTGATTCCCCATGCCATGAAAATAGTGTAATTTTGATCCATAGGAAATATACTATTGTACCAACACAATGAAAATGCAACATACGTATTATATGATTGAAACAGAAATGAACATGTACTTTATCATCACCGGAAAATATTGCCAGCAGTATGCCATCGATCAAATCAATGGGTCATTGAATCGCCAGCTATGTCGTGTTTGCTGGGTGCCTTCTAGCGAGCATATTCGATGTTTCAAGTTTCAGAAATATTGCTAGGAAAACAAAGGAGAAAAGAGAGTCACCCGGTATACCTATTCTAGTAATGGTTTTTATGAAGAACAATCAAAATCCAACACATTCGATTT